ATATCAGTTCAAAACTGACATAGACTGAATCACACACTCAAACACACACACGTGAGAGGAAATTTATAAAAGCTAGAGGTAAGAACCAATACCACGAGTTATACAAAAGCGACATTTGGTTTTGATAGAATCCTATTGAAGAGACCGAAAGGCGTTCATATTATGCCAAYTCCTAAACTCCTAGTAAAATTTTGGAAATAACCTGTATCCCAATTTTTTAATACATTTACCTTAAAAAAAGCGAAAATAATCCGTAATTTTCGAACGCAACACAAATAACCCGTCATCTTTACAAATAAATAGTAAACTAGTAACTCGCTTGTAAAATAATGTTTGTTGGCCACGGTTAGGCGCGTCCAGCACTGTAAAATACAGTTTATATATTCAATGTTGAAAGCAAAACAAATAATCTGTGATCTTCACTTTTAGTGGTCAAAATGTTAAAAACCTAACAGGGCCGTTAAGAACGTAAACGATTGAGTTCTAGGATTCRAATGAAACGTTTACTATGCTAATGAGACTAACTCTTGGATATTCGCTTTTTTCAATTTAAAAGTTAGAATCGAAGTCAAAAGACAGTCGATTCAATTACATACTGAACCGAGAAGCAAGAACAGAAAGAGCTAAAATGTGATGCGCAATTCTCGAAACGCATAAATAAATGTGATGTAAAGCAACATGGATACACGAGAACTCGTAAACAATTTGATGACTACCTTCGAAGGGTCACTTCAAGAATTGAAGGGAATGTGAATTGGAAATGAAGAACTTTTCAATTGATTATTTTTCAATTCACAAGTTAAAATCGAAGTTAAAAGACAGTTTATTTAATTAGAGGCTAAACAAAGAAGAAAGAAGAGAAGACTATAAAAAGCTACAGAGAAGTGGTGCGTGAAGCGCAAGAAACGCATTTAGAAATGTGCAGTAAAGCAACATGGCAGTATCACACGAACGTGTAAACAATTTGCTGACTAACGTCGATGGTTCAAATCAAGAAGGGACTTTGAAATGGAAATGCATATTTTTATTTCAATTCGGATTATTTTTTTCAATTCACCGCACATTAAAATCGAAGTAAAAGACAGTTTATTAATTAGAGGCTAAACCGAGAAGCAAGAAGAGATATAAAGCTACTATGAAGCACGTGCGTGAAAACCCCTTGAATATAATTAGATTTATACTTTCTGCTTGCTTGCTTGCTTGCTTGCTTGCTTGCTTGCTTGCTTACTTGCTTGAAAGGGGAGGGGCCCCTCCACTTTCACGATGCATGTATGTTTAATGACGTCTGGACAGTTTGGAAATTTCCAACCGTTTTGTGACTGGTAGGTTTTACAAAACTCACTGATTTCGGTTATTCAATATAATTTTCTAGATTTTCTTGTTAAAATTGCAGTTTTCCAATGACTGCTATTTTCATATAGTATGATTTATGATTTTTTAAATTTTATTTTAGTTTTTTCAGCAAATTACCAACGAAAAACACAGTGAAAAGGCCACCTAAAAGTCCAGGTAAAGCCATGAATTATACGTACACCAAGAGAACATTYTCTAGGCGTACATGTATCAAGAAACCAATCGGTGAGTCAACACGACATCCCCCTCCACCCTCCCAAAAAATACTACAGCTAATTAACGCTAAAAAGTGTTTATTTTATTATCCTCTGTTATGTTATGATTAACAGGGCTCCACTGCTAAACCCCTAACCTATTATGGTCTACTAGCGTAATAACGGCAAGTCTTCTTACATCCTCCTCCTCCACGTCGTCCGCAGGATTTCATACATCTAAGGCTCCTCCCCGCCCCATCTTTCTTCTTGCAGCATTGGCTGTTTGATGTACAGGGGCCATAGGAGTTTGGAAGGCAAMCTCTTTTCTCGTATACCATTGCGCTTGACAGCCAGTCTTCATCAAATGCTCGGACGCTCATCACACATGCGACAAGGATCAACACAAGAACAGTTTTCATGATTGTCGGCTTGCTAGCTGGTGACTGGATATAAAACATTGCTAAGTATTAATAAATAACCACAAACTTTTTACGTCTACATCTTGATCTATAAAAATGTTATAGATATGAAGCGCGCGCTGATTGGCTAGGACCAATTTTGACCGTGAATGTTCTTTGCTCCCTAAGATAACTTAATAACCATCAGTTCGTAATGATCATAATAGCGTTTATGTAGAATAATTATTCAGCTCTACTGACTCTTTCATTATTTCATAAATATAAATTCAAATATCCCCGAAGGATTTGGTACATATTTATATTCCAGCACATACATGGTTTATGATTCATTTATAGGCTTAAGAATTTGCGTTTAGAAATCCTGATCAAATATACAGCTTCCAAAATTTTATTTTATTATTATTTTTGCCTGATAATGACGTTGTAGTAGACATCGAAATGTGGCCTTTATATTTTTTATATATTTTTAGTATGATTTTACGTTCTACGCTGTCGCAGTACTTTAGTAGTAAATTATTTATAAAATATCTATTAATTCTAAATTTTCTTTYATACCCAAAAACTCAAAACATTATAATGACTTTCCACTAACTCTAGATCTTAAAAAAAGCTTTAATTTAAAAAAAGGTTTTTTCCCACATTTCGGTTTTCCTTTCTCGTGAAGACAAGGTAAAATACTGTTGTTGTTTTTTTTTCTTTTTTCTTTTTGGTTTTTCAATATCTTGCAGGGGCGGATTCAGGATTTTGTCAGGGAGGTGCTGGGCACAAAGTTAACTCGGGGGGGGTGCAGCCCTTAGAATCGAAAAGAAAAACCAGTATTGGTTAGTTGGAAGTAGGGGCACAAAGTCGGACCAGGGGGAAGGGGGGGGGGGGGTGCGCACCCCCTGCACTCCCCTGGATCCGCCCCTTTCTTGGGTTGTGTTTTGTTCATGGGAAACTCAATTTATTCAGTAGGGCAAATGTTGAATAATAACTTAAAACATTAGTAAGCTTTTCAAGCCATGCTTTTGTTTGGCGCCAAATGTATAATTTTCTTTTCACTGGAATGAACATAACTGTGGTTTACATAACTGACAGACACAGTTGAAAAGTACTAGACGAACTTATTAGTTCAAAATATATTCTAAACAATATATAAATCTATATAYATCAATAAACATATCGAAAGTACGCGTCGTAGTTTCCTACTCTTCTCTCGTCTTCCTTCAACGTACGATGGAAACCTGTTTTCCATTCCTTAACGATATTCATAACTGACATAGACTGAATCACACACACAAACACACACACGTGAGAGGAAACCCATAAAAGCTAGAGGTAAAATCTAATACCACAAGATATACAAAAGCGACATTTTGTTTTGATAGAATCCTACTTAGCGAGAAGACCAAAATACATTTCTGCATGGTCATCAAGAAAGAAAAAAAGCCTTAAAAAATTGTAATTGATCAAATTCAATTGCACACTAAGCTTTCCCAAAACACTCTATCCTTATGCGTATATCTCAGTTGATACTGATGTGATGACTTTGGTGCAATATACTGATCATATAATAACAAATGCTTCTCGGTTATTAGCTATATAAATAAGTCGACCAATAAGAAGATAGATAGAATTCTAGTTAGGAGAKGCTCTCTTATAGGTGGGGGGCCAGGAGGGGTGTTGGGAGGGGAGGGGAACAATTTATACCAACTCCTAAACTCCTAGTCATATTTTGGAAATAACCTGTATCCCAATTTTTTAATACATTTACTAAAATGAATATGCGAAAATAATCCGTAAGTTTCAAATGCAACACAAATAATCCGTCACCTTCACAAATAAATCGTAAACTAACAACTCTCTAGTAAAATAATGTTCGGTGGCCACGGTTAGGCGCGTCCMGCACTGTAAAGACAGTTTATTATATTTTGAAAGGAAAACAAATAATCTGTCATCTTCACTTTTTAGTGGCCAAAATGCTAAAAACCTAACAGGGCCGTGAAGAACGTAAACGATTGAGTTCTAGGATTCAAATGAAACGTTTACTATGCTAATGAGACTATCTCGTGGATATACGCTACTTTCAATTTAAAAGTTTAATTTGGAAAAACAGAAAGAGCTACAGACAAGTGGTTCGTGATGCGCAGCATGTAGCCTCCATCCTACGCCGGTAGACGTTCTTCGTGTCTGACACGCAACGTTTCCCTCCCCACGATAGCTACGCAGCCTGAAGCGCGCTAAAAAATGTGCAGTAGGCAACATGGATACACTCGAACGTGTAAACAATTTGCTGGCTAAAGTAGGGGGTCAAATCAAGAAGGTACTGTGGATCGGAAGGAAAATGAAAATTTATATTTCAATATGTATTTAAATTGCTTATTATTTGTAACTAGTTTCGGTTAATCTTGTGATTTCAGGCTAAAACTGAAAAAAAAATACAAAAATAATATTCTTCAATGCCTTTTCAAAGTATCTTTTTGAATTGGCCCTCGCGCGGTGAGCGTTGTATGCACTGTGGTTCACTCTTGTATCACTGGAATCATTGAAATAATTAAATTACGAATAACAGTCTGTCGTACTCCCTTGAAAGCGGCTAGGAGAAAAGGGGGAATAAGAAATAAATAGATTCTAAATCTGAATCTGAATCTTTGTCGTTGGTCTTTTTTCTGGTCAGTTGATGTTGTCCCCCCCTTTTATTTCTTTTCCATCCTCTAACTCCCTTAATTACTTCTCTGCAATTTTCTTTCACTCGTCCCAAAATGCCTTGATTGCAATTCCATTAACGGATCGGAAGTCTTCCATTTTTTGCATTGAACGTTTAGGATCTAGCCCAATTTAGATAAAAGTGAATGGTGAAAATAAAATCGGAAAATTTAAATTATTAATGATTTTTTAAATTCGAGATCAAGATAATGTCCTCCGTAATGCGAAAGAGTAAAAAAAAAAAAAGAAATCAATAAAAAAATGCAGCCGCCATATTTGAAAAGATCATTTTGATCAAGTTTTTTGTAGAGTTTCGTGGCTAAAAAGACGATGAAATCGTGGTTCAAAGTGAGTTGTTTGTTCAAATATGGCGACCGAAGTTTCCTCCCTTGTCAGAGTATATATACACAAGAGACACAAGATCAACATCAGATACCATAGGGAAATTATATAGGAAAACTAAGGCGCGCGCGAAAAAAAATGTTCTACTGCATTTYTTATTGATCTTTTTACTCTTTCGCATTACGGARGACATTATCTTGATCTCGTATTTAAAAAAAATTTAATTATTTAATTTTTTTTTACGGTTAATTTTCATTATTCACTTTCATCTAAATTGGGCTCCCTGTGATTTTATGGTATCGGCATCTGAGGAGGTCGGCTCGCTAGCGCAAAGTTATGGGTTTCCTGTGGTAGAAACCCGAACTCARTTCTGTTCGTTGTCATGGTAATGAAAAGTTTTCAAAATGGCTGACAAATACAGAAGAAAGTGATTGGTATTTCTATAAGGAAAATTTAGCTTTTTCCCGCTTCCTTAACCCCTTGTGAGTTTTTGAAAAGACTTAAAACACAGCAAAAGGTCCAAAATGGGGAAGAAGAAGACGAAAGAGCCTGAAGCTCCTCCAAAAGACGAGGTAAATTGGTCATTTTATCTTGAAATTTTAACGTAAACATGGAGCGGTTGAGCTATGAATGAAAGTTTTATGGCTCATTTTCCTGTCCAGTTTCCATATTCATTTAATTCATATGCTTAAATAAACTATTTTTAAGCTTTTCCATTTATCAATSCTTTAAGATTCCATCTGTATGCGATTCTTTCGAGTTAAAGTCCAGTCTTTCAGGTAGTTCAAAAATAATTACTGTCAGACCAGTTAGCTTAATGAGTAATTAGATTAATTAATAAATAACAACAATTATCGATAAATGGTTGATATTATGGGAAGTGRGAAATGTTAGTTGGACTTGCTTAAGAGATTCGATTCCACAATGTCCATTGATAAACTGTTCTTTTCTGGTAGTCCGAAAGGAGAATGGATGGTAATTTGTCATTAAGTAACTCACTTACTTTACTAGAGAATTGAGGATGATTTGAGTTTACATGCGCTTCTGATGATGCTAAAAGACTTCCTATTTTGCAGTAAACTAGAGTGGATCGTGTATAACATAGATTACCTGCTCTTTTCTATCTACCTAAACCAATTTTTCAAAATCATTCAATTACAGTGTGTCCATWAACCTTTGCATCACTGATACATATGAAGATTCAAGTAAAGGTTTATAGTGGAAATGGCTTTTTTTATACAAAGTATTATGTTTTAGAGCAGTTTTCYTATGAGTGGGGTACAATCAGCAAATTTGTGGTCTTAGCGCATCCTACCATACCATTAAATAAATTGCGAAGGATCGGGCAAAGACATTCATTGGACCATTTTCATTCTTATTGTAGCACATATTGTGCCATGTATGTGCTGTAAGTCAGTACCATATGTTTCACTGACTCATACAAARAGTCTGTTGTAAATGCATACTCGTAGTAACCTATCCATACAGGAAACCCACAAAGAATCTATGTAGCTACTGTATTTATGTATTAATTTTGTTCATCATCTAAAAACAGGAAATGAATGCACAAAATGTTAATTCATATTTTTGAATTTTTTTAAAGTTTGATGCACTGGAACTTGTAAGCAAAAAGCCTCACACAGTTGTGTTGATGCTCGACTCTCCCGAAGAAAACATTCAGCAACTTGCCTGTGAAGCCTTGTATAAATTTTCCCAAAAATGTAAGTCC